AGGGAATACTAAGTAGGATTTATAGACTATGTTGTTAACCACCACTCTGGTGATCGCTGGAGGCCCTATTAAAAATCTTGAGTTGACCACAATGAGCTTGAGCATTTGAATCCACAACTTATTGGACTACTACCAGATGATCTTATATGGACTGGGCTTTTGAATTTTCATCATGCGATTATTATGGGGTGATTGTATTGTTATGTAATTCAAGCTCTTTGCTTAAAAGGAAACTGTGTCCTTTCATAGGCTACTTACATTGATTTTGCAAAAATTACAGGCACAAGACGAGGCTGCACATAGGGCAATTGGTTAAGGATACCTCAGCAAAGCTGAAGCAAGCAAGTGAAACGGATCACCGTGTTGACGTCAGTGTAAGTCTTCCTCATTCACGGGGTGTGACCTCCTACCAGTTGTACCTCCCTTACTCCCTTCTTCTTCACTACCACCAGTCCTATTTTATGACATAGTCTTTTTTATGCTTTCTCCGTTAACATGGAATGCTAAACCCACACAGACTCCCTCTTCCACCTTAGGATCATCATTTTCCATGCGCCTCTTCATAACCTTCTGTGCTACTATCTATATAATCATTTTTGGCTCTTGTTGAGCAATCTACATGAGTTGCTTTTAAAGTTTGAGTATCTACAGTGCAAGTTATGTTCCATGGTTTGGTATGCACATACTTGAACTTTCTTTTTCCATTTCTGTTTTTAACCTTTTCTGTGTCTGCCAGTTCCCTTTGCCTCCACCCGTTTAGAGAAATTCCATTAAACTTGCATCTTGTAGTTTGTTGAAGTTAAATATCTGTTTGCTTGCAGGCCAGCAAGAAAATTACAGATGCTAAGCTTGCTAAAGATTTCCAGGCAGTCTTAAAAGAGTTTCAGAAAGCCCAACGGCTTGCAGCTGAGAGGGAAACGGCATATACACCTTTTGTTCCTCAAGCAGTCCAGCAATCTAGGTATTTTGTCTGTTCATGAAGTTTTTCAATTTCAAACTCATTGCTGTGTTTGCTGTGGAGTGGCTTCGTGTTGATAATATAATGTGAACCTGCTCGCCCTTTGGATTAGCATGTTGGCTGTTCTTTTTTATTATTTTTTTATTTTTTAATAAAGACAAATCATTTTCCCTGCAGCTACACTGCTGGTGAGACAGATGTGAATTCAGATAAGAGTTCAGAACAGCAAGCACTTCTTGTAGAATCTAGAAGGTATGTTGTGATAAAAAAGTACTCTCAGTAAAGTATACAGTTAACATCAGTGTCTTATTTTGCTACACTGTTTGTGCTGCAGACAAGAGATCTTATTGTTGGATAATGAGATTGCCTTCAATGAGGCGATAATAGAGGAAAGAGAGCAGGGTATACAAGAAATACAACAACAGATTGGTGAAGTAAATGACATATTTAAAGATTTGGCTGTGCTTGTTCATGAACAGGGAAATATGATTGGTACTTCACTCTACAGTTTTTTAAATAGCATTTTGATACGTTATTCTGGTGGAACATTAGCTAATGGAGGCAACTGGTTAACTGGCAGATGATATTGGTTCCCATGTTGAGAATGCTCATGCCGCAACAGCGCAAGGGAGATCACAGCTTGCCAAGGCTGCAAAGACACAAAGATCAAACTCATCTGTGGTAACATATTAATTCTTGAATCTTTTTGTCTAGTATCATGTTTCCACAATTGGGCCTCTGGTGGACACGAGGATAAAATTGCAGTTCAGGTTTTGTAACTAAATGGATGTCAGTGTACTCCACGTGTAGTCATACGTATCAAAAATCTTCCTGTTGCCCTTGATTAGTTTTAGTTTGAACTTCTTGTCCTCTTAATAATAATTGATTTGTATTAGGTAAGTTTTCTGTTGGTAGAAACTATGACTGCAGTATGAAGGCTATATTTTCGACACACTCCTTCCTTCCTTTTTAGTATCTTTACGTGAATCTATAACTTACTATGCAATGTCCTTTTTTTTCTGGCTGCAGACCTGCTTGCTTCTGGTCATTTTTGGGATTGTGCTTCTCATTGTTATTGTATTACTTGCTGCCTAGTGAGAAAAGTTTGAATATGATTGGATGGAGAATTTACGTCTACTCGACAATCCTGTGATCAAGTTTGTTTTGTGAAGCACTGCAGCTGATTGGATCGCGCCACTCACTGAAATTGTATCAATAGCAAGATTTATGACCTCCATTGCCATATTAAGTTTTTATTTTTTGGGTGGGGATTGGTGTTGTATTTTGTAATTGGCAGGTTTGGGTTCGAGGTTTTCCTTTGCTTGTCATATAATTAGTCTTGCAAATATAATTGATTTTTCTGTTGAATGATTATCAATCTGTTTGTGTGGGATTTTATGCTACTCATTGACTCTACTGGTTTGTTTTTGGGTCTGGAGATCATAAGGACTATTGCTTGGCGGAGCCTTTCATGTTTCATCTTGTGAACATCTCGTTGGACAATCTACTGATGGTATCCCTTAGCCTGTCTCGTGTCCTTAATTGGCACTGAGTCAACAAATGAGTATTTGCTCTTATAGTGATGCTAAAAGTTCATGCCCAATTTTAGTGCACACTTTTTCTGTCAGTGAATGTACATAAAAGCACTAACTCTTGGTTCATGAGAATGTTTTAGGCTTTGCTAGGTGCCGTACTGGCATATGGTAGGGAACTTTTTGAGAATGAAATTATGGCAATGGATGATAGGAACTTGAATTGATGTCCAGGTTCTTGGGAGGCCAAGTTATTTTTTGATGCAGAATATGACTACCTTCTGATGATGGTAATTTCTTCAAAGATTTTGAAATTGATGCAGATTACAAATAATTTACTATTTGATATGGAGTGTAATTATCATCTGGATTCCTCACCTCTTGTAGTCTTCTAAGAAATCTTTTTATAATGCTACATTCCATATGTATATTGATTTTTTGGAAATAACAAAAGTTGGCCCATCATTTAGTATCGGCAACATCTCCAATGGTAAAAGCTGAAGCACCGAGGCTTTCAAATAGATGTGTCTGAAATCTGCATGATATGATCAGCACAGGTACTTCAGGAAGCATCGATTAAACAACCTGATTTGTTTGCGGACTCAAGTATCTAACCCATCTACGAAGACAGTATCCTACACAACAATCTCAACCATGTTCAGCGTTTACATTCCTCAGAAGTACACTCAAAATTCCGCCAGGTGCCTGAGAGTTGGGCAAGAAGAGAGGAGAACACAGTTCTTCCGGAGTACAAGTACCTTAAAATTTTGGAGACCAAAATGTGAGAAGCATTTCCCGAAGCATTATTGTCGAACTGAAAGGTGTGGTGGTTGAAGTGCAGTCGACATATAAGTGCATAGCCAAGGCTGGGAAGTTTTTCTCTTTAAGCTCTGAACTTCTTTTGGCAAAATCACGGATGATTAGAAACAATCTAAATATATCAAGATTGTTTCAGGTCAGCTGTGAATGCAATATTTGAAGAAGAAACAGAAGTCCAGACAATTAACAAAGCTGACAAAATTGCTGATATGAATGTCACAAATGACACAATTTTTGCGTGCTCCTTGTTTCCACAAGGCACTTCCCATACTATATTGCCATCTTCATCCTTGACACCTTGATCAGTCGGAACAAGCAAACAGCTCTTCTCATGCAAATTTCCTTCATTTCTGCAACTGAAAACTATGTCCGGCAGGCCGAATTCAACTCTCGAAATGCCATAACCTAATGGCTGTAGAAAGATTAAACAATGAGAGTTAGTTTTCCACAAATTGCCCTTACTCTTATACAGTTCGTGCACTTGCTTGTATCCAAAAACTAACAAGATGTTCATCATTCTAACGAACTCCAAGGGAAATCAACAGTCTCCATAAGGTGATAGCGTCCAGAATTGCATACCTGATAACGCGCATGCAATGGGAGCTCAATGTTGATTTCTAGCTGCTTATGATCTCCAGAAAACATGCCAGGATCAATCCGCACATGAACTTCAACTAATGACCTATTGGACCGAAATGAAGGCAACTCTAGATTTGTATCCCCAAACACAGCAGCATTGCTGAACACTGCAACCAATGATACCAACGTACTAAAACAACCACCACCCCAGAAAACATAGAGCCATTTGTACACATAAAATCTTCAAAAAAAAAAGAAAAAAAGAAAAAGATCAGAACTATGGATCTTATACCTTTCCTCTGGACAAGATGTTGCAACTCAAAAGGATCTGCAAAAACTCCAGAGGGCAGTCTTTCTATCACAATGGCTTGACAAGATTGTGCAGATACTTGGATTTCTAACCTAACGGATGAAGATAAACGACGATGTGAACCTTCCCCAATCAAATTCCTGTGTAAAGCTAACATTTTTGGCTCCTTATTATTCAGTTCAGGTTGCAGCATCTGGCAAGAACTTAGTGAAACATCAGTCTTTAGGAAGCTATTGAACTTTGAATCGTCCAAAATTTCATGTTTCTTGAAATACTGTGCTGAAATGTACTCCTCAAGACCCTAAAATCAAAACCCACGAAATATAAAAAAATTCTGAGCTATAAATTTTACAAAAATTGAAGCTTAATATCCATAATTTTGCACCGCAAAGAAGAAAATAAAAAGTAAAAATGAAATAAAAGAAGGAAAATGAAGCCTTTGGGCTGAACTGACCAGGCTAAAACTGGGCAGGAGGAAGATGAAGATGAATATTCCAAGTCTGAAGCAGCTCTGAAATTGGAAATCTTGAATCTCCATTTCAATGTATAATCAAAGCTTGACCAAATCTCAAAATTAGAAAAGGAAAATCTAGGATATATACGTGTAGATGTAGTCAGTATTCTTTACGTATTTTTTGCATTCATATACGCATTTCAACAATATGAAATCGGATCGATTTGGATGCTTTTCAATATATCTCAGATTGAGTCTATCAACGGCTGTGATTTGACGAATTAAACGGTGCTACGACGTCGTATCAGGTTTAGTATTAGTTTGAAAAGCCGGTTTCTTCAACTTTTTGAATAGTAGAATTGGGGGGGTAAAAAGGAAGAGGGGAATTGGAGATGAGTAATAGTTCGCTGTCGTCATCGCCGGCGAGGTCATCGATATCTACGACGGCGGTGGCTGGGAGTGCAAATGCGGTGGTCGGAGGGTCATCTCTATCCGTCGAGGACTACCACTTTCCGGCGGATCTCATTTCAATTCAGGACCGCAAAGACGAGGCCCTTCTTGGTCAGTCTCTATTTTTTTTTTCCCACTGCACTGATGATAATTATCTGCTTCTCTAGCTTGTACTAGTTTTAGACAACAACATTGGATCCATGTGACTTTTTTTTTTTATTAAATAACTAAAAGGACTGTAAATTTTTGCTGTATTGTGTGCATAATTTATGGTGCACAAAATTTGGGTTCATTTAAATATCAGTCTTTTAGGAGTAGTGTTTGAAGTGCGATTTGGGGGCATACTCAAACCCGGTTGGAGCAATTTCTTTTTTTGAATTTGTGGAAAACTTTGGTAATTTATTCAAATTTAGGTACATTATTTTGTGCTAAATGTTGAACAATGAGCCACGCGATCCAATTTAGCTTGAAGGAAAAATTTGAGAAACCCTCCAGTTTCGGACCTTTGGTAGCAAATTAGGCTTTGACATTAAAGAGCTTGTGTCCAATGGTATTTTTAATAAGGCCTCAGCATTTTGTATCTCATACATAAGAGAAGAAAAGATTTAACGTGGAAATTCCCGGTGGATAAAAGCATTGGACCACCTCAGAAAGTTATCTTTTGTCAAAAAATGCTGGAGAAATACTCTGTTTACGCAAGAAGAGAAATCCTACCACTACATGAATGAATACAAGAAATAGGAAAACTCTCACTCTTAAGAGATGATGGAGACCAGTATTGCTTGAGATAGAGTTTTTAATGAGGTGAATCAGTTCCTGATATTTGGCTTCAGTATGACCAAGATCCCTCAGACTTCACAGATAGCAGAAGCATAAGCTTCTTTCTCTGTGAAGACCTACTTATCTCCTCTCTTATCTTCTAAGCTGTTGTATGCACATGGGATTTAGGTAAGTCCCATTATTATAGTGGTGATTTGTGCAAGGTTTCGCTTGAAAAGAATTACCAGAATATGAAATGCTTTTCTGAACCTTTGATTAGTAGTGGCTTGTTTAAACCAAGAAACTTGCATCAACTTTCTGAAGGGTTCTTATCTTATTTATGCAGTTCTGAAAGCTGACCTGATGGCTGCTTTGAACAAAGAGGTTAAATCCCTTGATGAGGATAGCTGGATGTTTGAGGGACCCCGATCTCGTATTAATCTTATTTCAAGACCAGGTTAGTTGTTTTGGTTGTTTCTTATATCTGCTTTTAACATGATCTGAATGTTATGGTCCACTAGATCATGCGAGTTAAAATTGTGCTGAACTATAACTGACCTCTATGCAAATGCAAGTCAAAGGATCTTCACTAGTTCCTTGAGAGAATTTGTAGTTTGAGACTTTAATGATATATTTTGATAGTTGTTTGGATAGAAATACTGGCCATAATAATGTTATTCACTGTTAAATATATGAATTTTATGCCCAAGACATTTCAAAGTTTAGTTAATGCCTCATCCTGTAATTTAGTTTTTCCTCAACTCCCAACTACTGTACTTTGTTTCAATGGCCCTGTTTCTGCATTGAAGGCCTTTTACCCAGAATTTAGCAATTCTCAGGCTGGAGGGCCAGCCATGCACAATAGACCTCAACTTCATACGGACTAGTTTTTCGTCAGTTCCTTGTAGAACTGTTTGGTTTTGGCTCACCAATTAATTACTAATTGGTGCTACATTTTTTTTTCTTTTTTTCCCTATTTTAACAATCCCTGCTGCTGTCATCTGTTGACTCATTTGTGAATTCTGATTATGTAGGCAAATACATAGGTAGAAGCATCATTTTAATGTCTAATTCTCCTGTTTTCTTCTTTATTCCCCCTCCTATATATTGGCATGTTTGGCCAGTTTCTTGAGCCCAGGATCTGTCAGTGAATTTGGCTGTGTGAAATGTTTGGTTACTAGTTGATGCAGTGTATAGGGAAAGGGAAGGTACTCTACATCTGATGCGCGACAATTCAATTTTGTCTCTGTTATCAACGCATTTTTAGATGACAATGTCAACACAAATCTGTAACTCAGTTCAAAAGCATCAAGTTAGAGGTGGCAAAATGGGCGGGATGGGCGGGATTTGCTTGGGTTTAAGATGGAATCGAGTCATATGGGTTTGGACCCATCCTTACCCATATGTGTTTTGGGACTAGCTTGGATGGGATCACTTTGGGATGGGTTTAGATTGATCCCGCCCAATACCCAAATCTATTTTCTATATATATATTTTCCTTTAATTCATTTTTTATTTTTTATATAACTTTAATTGTTTTGATTTATTAAATTTCTTTTAGTTTTATTAAATAAACATGCAAGTGCTTTATACTCAGGATTCCCACCAAAAATTGGATTAACAAATAAAGGAAAATATAGATATAATACAGCCATATTCCAACATATATCAAGATGGCCAAGGCACTTAGGGTGTTGAATATTTATCCTCATCATTGTCCAAAGATGACAGGTCTAAACTGACTGAAATGCTGGAAATTCTTGTGGATAATGATTAGGAAGGCTGCTAGATTATATTCGCTGGTATGACTATAAAAATTGTTAAAGATAATTTTTGAATCTAAGACTCCGTTTGGATTGGCTATATTTTCAAAAAACAAAATTTTCAAATATAATGTTACAGTAACATACAATAACTCAAAAAATATCTCATCCATATTAGTATATCAAATATTTCAAAAAAAATTTATAGTAAAAATTTTTCATATACTCTGCGACAATAAAATATTTCAAAAATATCCAAAAAATTAGCCAATCCAAACAGAGCCCTTGCTATTTGAGCCCAATGGGTACCCAAGTATTTCCCAAAATTTTCCATCAATTAATGGGTATAATTGAGATTTGTCCCATTTTAAACCCAATATCAAATTCCGGTACCCATCCCGCCCAAAGTCCCTATGGGCATGGGTAACCCATTGGGATTTGGGACAAATTGCCACCTCTAGCATCAAGCTAATCCACATGGGAAGGGTTTAGTATTATTTGAGCTCATGGCAACTTTAAATGAAAAGGCTAGTCATTTGAACTTTATTACTCTTTGTTTTGTGGTTTATGTTTAGAACACCTTAGGCATTCTTTGAACTAGAGGTCTTCATATATGCTATTCGTGGCAATTGTAGAGAATAAATTATTAATTTGCAGAGTGTCAAATGCGCATTTCTGGGAGATCTTGTCAAATATAAAGCACACTGGTTTTGTTTGTAGGACGTCTCAGTTAGTTGCTGTTCTTATTTTTCAACTTTTTTAACGTATAAAGCAGTATAATTTATTGATGGAGTAAATGGCATGGTAAAACATACCAAGTTATCCAATTCCTGAGATTGTTGACTAATGCATACTTTTCATGCATATTTGATAGCTTAACAATAACTGCCAAGTCAGAGGAAGAATAACATGGTGTGCGCTTAGCCTATTTTTCTTCCATTTCTGTTGACAGTGTAACTGGTTTTGGTGATCTGGGACAGGTTTGTAGCTCTATTAATGTGTTTTTAGTAAAAGTTTGAGGTCCAAAGTGAGAATTGGTGAAGACATTGAATGTTATATAGTGGAATTAGTCTTTTATTATATCTTAAGCATCTGGAATGCAAAATCGGAGTCGTGTCCAAAACCAAAAAGGTCATTTGGACTTAATTCTTCATTTCGTTTTAGATAGCAACTTTTTCTCGTCTGGTTTGCACGTGCATTTGGAGTTGGGATTGCGGGTAGTGGAGGTGGTGTAGGCTTGTGGCTTCTCAGAATGTATCCTGCTTTTGTAACACCAAGCATTTCCTGGGCGTTATAGGCTTGTAGCTTCTCGAACTGTATCCTGCTATTTGTAACACCAACTAGTCTTCTTCCAACTTGCATGAAATTTCCCTCTTGGCCATGTTAACTCTCGTGTTTATACAGGTGGGCTTCTACAGAAGCGTTTTGGAATTACGAAGCATCATAACTTGGCCCCGAAAAACTGATTTGTATATCCTTAATAAAGAAATTACCATGAGCCAGCGAGAGGTGACCGTCAAGTTTCTTGAACTGATTCATGCCTTCTATAATAGCTTGAGCTAGAGTACTGGCTTAAGAGGGACCAAGATGCCTGGATATGCCGTTCTACTTGAAGTTTGTCATGGTCTGCTCTGTATCTGTTCTTGATGTACTCTAAATTTCTGCAACAGTAAACTTGCTAGTTTAGAGCAGCCATTGGTGCTTTGTCCAGTGATAGCTGCTTAGAAAGTGTCAACACTTTCTTGTTGAATACAGCCATTCAGTTGCTAATAGGACTAGCTAGGAATGTTGGAAATAAACGCCTGGTGAAACTTTGATACTTCTATTATCAAATCTTGCTTCTTCAAATATTATAGTCTCCCAGGCCTTGTTTTGAAGATTCTGTTAAGAGTAGAGAACTCCATGTTTTAGCTCTTTTGCTTCCAACTATGACACAATAACTGCATTGGTTGAGCCAGTTGCATCCTTCGCCACCCCCCCTAACCCATGTAGTGAGTTTGAATTTGCATATAGATGAAGAGAGAGTTCTAGTAAATAGCAAGCCTTGCTTTTATTTTACCCTTTTTCCCTTTTCCCTGTGTACAGCATTTTTTTTTTCTTTTCCTTTTTGGTTTAACAAAAAGGAAGAGTGAAAAAGGTTAGAAAGGATATATAGAAACCTAGTCTAAAACATGGACGTGTATGCATGGTCCAATAAGGTGGTCGGAGCTCTATAGCACTTCGATTTTCCCAGTAACTGGACAGCGTATTGCTATGCCCCTTGGATCAATAAGAATATCATCAAATTACTCATAGTTTCCAAACGTCTAATGCCTTTCCTGTGCTTGCAATTAATCAAAATCTCACTGATAGGAGTATCATTCAGACACAAGAAGAGTAACAGAGCAGGTTCTGGGGAGCAACATGCTGAAATTTAGTCGAAAAAGGGTGAGAGAGTAGTTCCTCCACAGTTCCTCTACTCCTCCAATCCCTCACCAAGCACCTCCTTACAAAGTTCTGAAGCTCAGCTGATGCAGTTTCTGGCATTTCCCATGTTTCTTCAAAACAAATTGCGTACATGAGAGTGATCCAGTCTGGTTTCTCCCCAGGATTAATCAAAGGAAAACGACCTGTGAAGCATTCCATTATTACCACTCCCAGGGACCATACATCCCCAGCAAATCCATCAGAGTAAACTCCATCCCACCTTTCTGGATCAATTCTCTCCGGACTCATGTATGCGTAAGTACCCATGTATGAATCGCACTGCTGTTTATCAGAACCTGCCACAAGTCGGCTGATGCCAAAATCTGCAATCTTCATCTTTCCTTTTCTGTTTATCAACAAATTTGATGGCTTAATATCTCTGTGAACAATATGCATTGAATGCAAATAGTGCAGTCCTTCCAAGACACTTCTGGCAATGCCAGAAATAGCTTCCTCAGATAACCTATGATGCTTCTGCAAGAGGTCATAGAGTGATCCTCCTTCCATGTACTCCATAACAAAGCATAGATCACCACCTCCATCTATGTCGGCAAATCCATTCTCAAACACCCCATGACACATTACAACACAATCTGAGTCCAATCTTCTGAGTATCCCCATCTCGTTCAAAGACTGCTGCTGAACCCTTTCGATATCTTCGCCAAACCTGAGTACTTTCAATGCATAAATTGCACCTGTTGGCTTGTGGAAAACTTTATAGACTGTTCCTCCATTGCCATGTCCAAGAACAGCAAGTTTCTCGAAATCGGCGAGGTTAGTGATGGTCGGAGAGTTTGAGCTTGAGGATGATATTGGTGATGGTGATAGAAACCCATGCCAAGAACTAGAAACTGGGGGTACAGTGAGCCTCAGGGCCTGCTTTTCCTTTCTCTCCCTCACCAGTGTCATATGTAAACAGCTGTAGAAATACAAGAATGACTTGCAAGTCTATCAAACTAAGTCTTCTTTATACGTTGCATGGTGCTTATGGGCTTGAACGTGCTTGGCCTAAGACCCTTGGGAAGTTGACATATGGAAGTAAGGATCTATAATCAAGGGCAGGTGAGGTTTTTGTGGTTACGTCAGACTCCTACTTCTGGCTATGAGTTGAGTTAGGGATTACAGTGAGTTGAAATCTGCCATGTGTACATTTGTTGTGATGGTATAAAAAAAAAATTTTAGAATCAGAAGGATAATTTAGTAGCATGGTTGTTGATTAATTAAGCATGTAGTCCACTCACTCCAAATAGAATGTGCTTTCTGCCCTGAAAGGCAGTTTCTAACTACAGCCTAAAGTTGGGGATTGAACTGCACATGTGAATAAAAAATTTTCTTATCACGTCCGAAACTAAAGTGATAATCAACGCATGACAATAATAAAGTAGTGATTTTAGGAATGCTTTGTTGCATTTCTTTTCTTCAATTTTGTTACCAACATCTGATTTAGGAATTGCAATGTCAGTTTCAAGAACTTAATATATGACCCTGGACTGATTGCAAGCTTTTGGATTTTCAAGTCTTTGGTGACTCGAGCTGTTTAAGTAAATGTAGAAATCCAACCCACAAAAATTTTATAAATTGAAAGAGAAAAAAAAAAGCAAAAAAAAAGGGAAAAAAACGGATATAGCTAACTAAAAATATTGCTACCGCATAACTAGTGTTAGTTTCAACAGGCAATTACATTAACATACCTTTTCTTTAAAAATAGATGATTGTTTGATACTTTTGTCGAATACTCTTATAATTTTAATACGACTACGTATCGTATCGATGAGTCCATTAAACATTTATTTTAGGGTAAAAAAGTTTAATTAAATTTAGCCTATTTGGCAAACAAGTTTTTCGCCAAGTTTATCTACTATGAGTTTTTTAACAACTTTATCTACAATAACGTTAAAAAAAATTTCAAAAGTTTTTAAACTATACAGTTCAAAATATCCAAAAATTTACACACTTCAAACCATTCGGCATAAAGGTCAACAAGGAAGAAGAAAAGATAAGTTTTGACGCAAAGTTGAAGCTCTGATACTGCTTGCCCCTTCGAGTCATTCCAACTTTGGCACCAAGAAAACAGAGGGTACAAAAAGTAAGCACCTTAAGGGTGATATGCAAGTAAAAGCCAATGGTAAGAACCAGATGGTAAAACGGTTCATCCATACAAGTAAAGGCATACAGGGTCAAAACCAAATGAGGTATTAACTGCTCTTTTAGGGACTTAATAGACACATAATGATCAGACAGATTAATATCAATCTTCACAATATACTTGAGATAGCAAGAAATGTACATATATCATAAAGAAGATCAAACTTTTTTGCCTTCAGATGTGAGAAGTCCCATCTGCTCAGTCAGCTGTTCCATGTGCTGAGTCCTGTTCCATCCATTATCAACCGGTTTTATTTGACTTCCCTTGGAAAGGTCTTCCATTTGATTCGAGTTCAAGTCCTCAGTCTCAATCGTTTGCTGGGGACTCTGGAGAAACTTTTCCCAGAAGGGGTCAATAGAGCCAGGAAGATCTTCCATGTCATCAAGCAATGAACTGTCCCATTCAATCTGTTCATCATCAATATCCAAGGCAAGTTTGCCGTTTGCTGCCAGTGACGTTGCGTCCATGAAAGCACCATTCTCTGTTTCAGTCCCTAATATATCAACATTACTTTCTTGACCAATGTCCTGTAGTTGAGAAAGCTCAGGCATGATCGTATCTGGTGACGGGAGTGTTAAGGGATGCAAGTCTTGCGCTCCAACCATACCATTCAAATCTGAAGTTGCACCAAGAGTGGATGAATGACTATCAGAAATGGCAGCGGAAGCACTTTGACCTATTACTGATGATGCTGCTGGCACAAAAGGCTGCCCAGCAGATGGTGTGACCTCCTGAAGAGTCACTCCTGAAACACGATTGGAAGAATTCCCACAATCCATTGCCGTAGACTGTGTCGAGCCATCACTGAGCAAGAAATTATCAGAACTGTTGCTGAAATTCTCTAATCTAGGCGAAGCATCGACTTTCATTAGCTGCCTGAGCATTGCTTTAGCTGCCTCATTCATCATAGGCTGATACTTGACAATCTGTCCATCAGTAGGACCAACAGAATGATCGTCTGAAAGACCATCCTGTTTAAGCCTCCGCTTTTTGCTGCCTTCAGTGATGCGCCTGCCGCTATCACTTTGCTGCTGTACAAACTGTGCCAAAAATCCAGGGCTGTTCACAGCTTTTGCCAGGAAAGACATCATCTGTTGTTGCCGCTGTTCCATACCCTGGAGGCGCTGCACCATTGCTTGCAACTGACCATCGGTGGTTTGTTGTTGTTGCCTCAACCGTACAAGTTCCTGCATAAGCACATTCTTGTCTCTTTTTAGCCTCTCAACCTCCTCTTCAAGCCCAAATTTTCCAACCTCAACACATGGGCCAACTGATGGACTCTGTGCATGAGGTTGCTGTTGTGGCTGAGGGTGTCCATGGGCAGGTTTTCGACGACTAATACTTTTAAGTAGGTGCTTTTGACCTCTTAAGAATCCCTCGTTTGCAAACTCCCAGCGATCTGGATCAACCTTTCTAAATCCCTGATTGTCCAAGGGGGCCACAATCACAAACAGTTAGACGTACTGGCATTGATAATAACAAGTTCACAATCAGAGACAAACTGTATTTAACCAATAGAAGATACCACCAAAGAAAGAGAGGTAAACAGATCCGATAATGCAATCTGCCAATCCCACCTTGACAACTGTTAGATGGCAAGAACTACTACCCTTCCATCCTAGTCGACCAAAATTATCAGACAAGATCCAAAATAGACGAAACACCAACCTTTGCATATGTGGACTGGAAGTCAAATACAATTTTAGAAAATGGAAAAAGAAATCATTCACCTTTACAAACTGAATAAAAAATGATCAGCCTTGTGAATCTAACAAATTATCTTTTCAGAATGGGCACCCGTAACTTTAGCTACCGCAAACTCTTGGCCAAATTGATCAAGTTGATATAGTTGGCATTGACAACTTCCTATGCTGGAACCTTAAGCTACTAAATTCTCTTTACAAAATTGACCAACTTGAAACAGGAACTTACTTATACAACTCAACCCCTCATATCACTTCTTTATCGACAGAAAAGGTTCCTACACTTTATACGTATTTACATTGTGCCTCTCCATTTTTGTAATTGCAATTCAATTCAACTCGAAAGAGATCCATGAACATTTTCTGTTGCCCACAATACAACCCAAGATCTAACTGGACAAGAAAGTCATCCATTCATTTCCAATCTTTCTTTTTTACTCCTCTTTTGCTTTAGTAAGTCAGCCAAGAATGTATCCTAAACACGCTCCATCTCATTCACTCGTGCCAGAAAAAGAAGAGCTAAACCAGCAAACCATGCAAGCTTTATTAAACTGCAATCAAGTCACACATTACTGAGCGCGAGCTTTTTGCCGTATTAAACTATCTTATGCAGCACAATTTATGAATCTACTTTGATACTAATGTCAATTTCATCTTCATCAAATTTCCATCGTCATGGGAAGAAAAAGCATGACTGCCATCAGTCAAACATTACCTGACAGTGATTGTCAAATTATTTTACAATATTCATTATGCAACAGTGACTTCCAATTATGCAGCAAACATTCCTAGTCAAAGCAAAATCTCCTCTACTAAAACAGCATGCGTCACTTCCATTTGGGATTGTAACGCACTGTCCTTTACTTTTACTAGTTAAAAGACACATCAATGTACAAACTAACAATCACAGAAGGAAAACAAGGTTGAAACAGTTTATTACATGATTAGAGTTAAATCAATCAATTATACGAGAAAGAATGAAACAGCTGACTGAGGGTCATTCAAAGATATGAAGGGGAGCCAACAAAAAAGCAAGCATGACTGAAATTGCAGAATTTGATCAGACGAAATGCTAAATGGTATAGGAAATTGATACATTTACTTGAAAATCAGTCTCTTCGATCCATCTCTTCCTTAAAAGAAGCCTATGCCAGAAGTGAATTAGGCTGATTTAGAAAAGAATTTATCAATTCTGATAAAATATCGCAATCTAGGAGATTTTGCTTCTTTATCTGTTATCTGCACTTCTCTAATTTCTCTTTTCTCGAGTCAGAAGGCTGCAGGTCAGGAAGATCGGAAAAGTGGAAGTTGCTTAGAACGCTCAACATGATGAGACAACAAAATCATTAAAGGAAGGAAATATAAAAGAACCTTAGGTTTAAAATAAGTAGAATGAGTAGGTTCGGAAAGTCATTTTATGCGGGCAGGATTAGTTGTAGGGTAAAATTATAAGATCATGAAATTCTTTCCATACATTAATGACTGAGCACGGATATATTACAAATATTGTCACAACCTAACCGTACTAAATCCTTGTAAGTAGGAGTAGTTACCAAAAATACTTCTATTATAAGTAAGGAAGCACTCTAAATGCTTCTAGTTGAAGATTCATTTGGGACAAAATCAAATTCATCAGATCAGTTTGGCAAGAATCTTCCCCAGAAAGAGACAAAAGAGCAGAAATTCCGTAATACCAACTTCTTTGTTGCTGAGAATCTCAGTATAAGAGAATATGAGTAGAAAGGAAAACAATAAAAGTGGGTATATCCAAAATAAAGTTCAAAGAAAGCCACCAGAAAGATCCAATCAAACTACAACATTGAAGACAACTAACGTAATCCGAAAAGCGTTGACTGGACAGACATCTTAGCTGCTCCAACCCCTACTCAAGTCCAATGAACATGACTTCCACTTAGGGAAATATACACATTATGGCTTCAATTAGGGAAATATACACATTGTGGCTTCAATCTCTTTCAATTTGTTGTTTATCTATATTGTCGGAAAAGGAGAAATGGGCGTTAGCTGACCATACCAATGTTGCTAAGAAACTTCTTTGTTGCCGAGAAACTCAGTATAAGAGAATATGAGTAGAAAGGAAAACAATAAAAGTGGGTATATCCAAAATAAAGTTCAAAGAAAGCCACCAGAAAGACCCAAATCAAACTACAACATTGAAGAAGACTAAGCCAGACAACTAACGTAATCCAAAAAGTATTGACTGGACAGACATCTCAGCTACTCCAACTCCTACTCAAGCCCTGTGAACAGCGACTTCTACTTAGGGAAACATACACATTATGGCTTCAATCTCTTTCAATTTGTCATTTATCTATATTGTCGTTTATCCATATTGTCGGATAAGGAGAAATGGGCGTTAGCCGACCATACCAATGTTGATAAGAAACTTCTTTGTTGCTGAGAAACTCAGTATAAGAGAATATGAGTAGAAAGGAAAACAATAAAAGTGGGTATATCCAAAATAAAGTTCAAAGAAAGCCACCAGAAAGATCCCAATCAAACT